TGGGGGGGCCTTTGGGGGGCAGCAGAGAGCTCTGTGGGTGGGTCAGCAGTGCCAGGGCCCAGTGCCCATGCTGGCACAGGTGTGGCAGCTGGGAGACACTGCCAGAGGGAGGCGGGGGCATGACCAGGCCACCTGGCACAGCAAGGGACCCCCAGCCCAGGGCGAGTGGTGCCACAGGCCTCCCCTCCTCCTCCCTCCAGCCTGTGCCAGGGATGGACTCACTTTGCCACTGCCCACACAAGTTGGAGCCACTGCACTCGAGCCCAGTCGGGACAGGGGCAGCTGGGGGTCCCCTCTGGCAGGGTTGGGGGCAGTGAGAGGTACCAGCAGGGATTGGGGGGGCTGTGGGTTGGGAGTGAAGGGTGCCAGCAGGGCCCTGGGGGCTGTGGCTTTAATTTTGTTTTATATTTAATTTTTGAGGCAATAACACTTGTTATTTACCATAACAGTTAGCAACTCCCCCCCCATCATATTCCCTGCCCCCCGACAGGTATCCTCTTTTTTGGAACTGGAAATATAGTAACCCTATTAAAACCCTAGATATGCATGACTTTGTAAGCTGACTTTTTAACTAATAAAATACCTAACTTGAGTTCTGAAGTACAAAGATTCTTTATTCCCATTTATATATATATATATATATATATATAAAAAAAAAAAAAGTAATCTTTGAGCATATTAAAGGCTATCTGCAAAGGAAAAATTAATATCGAATAACCCACAAAATAGATGCCAAATTCCCTCAATGGCAAGATGATGCGTGGTAGCAGATGTGAATGGCAGAGTCAGCACTGAGATGAGCGCACACCTTATTTTCCATTAGGTGGTTGTCACCAAAATGAAAGAACCTCACTGCTAAACTTTTTCTTTTCCTTTCAGATTCTTGACAAAACTGCTTTTCCAAACAGTGTTGCTGTAGACCTCTGTGCACATAGCCCATCTTGGAAACCATTAATTAGAAAGTAGGTATTTTACTGACATGCTTTATTTCCAGGGTATTTATTAGGTCTGTGTCTGTGCAAAGCGGCTAGTATTCGCTTCAGATTTGGCCAATTCAGGGGACAGCAATTTGATTTGATGATTTGAATCACTGTCCCGAATTGATTTTTGGCTGAATCACCCAGGCCCATCCTGTGCCTGCTTTCCCAGCCTGGCAATGGTGTCCCACCCATCCCAGTTCCCAGCACTTCAGGAAAAAAAAGCCGCGACTCACTGGGTGCTGCGGGGGGTGGGGGAGCGCGCGATCCCCACTGACCCATGCTGCATGGGGGGCTCTGCCATGAGCCCCGACCTCCCAGCTCTCCCCATGGCTGCCCCACCTGTCCCAGCTCCAGCCATTTAAGGAAAAAAAAACAACAAAAAACCACTGGACTCGCCGATTCCTGCCTGGTGGGGGGTGATCCCCACTGCCCCACACCGCGTGTGGGGCTCTTCCACGAGCCCTCCGAAGCCCCGGGGCTGCTGCAGGAGCTGGTGAGTTCAGGGGCTTTTTCAAGTTCTTTTTGTAAAGGGCCGGAGCTGGGGCAGGTGGGGCAGCCATGTGGGGGCTGAGACATTGGGGAGGGTTAGGGGGCTCATGTAGAGCCCCCCATGCAGCAGGGGGCAGCGGGAATTGCCCTCCATCCGGCAGCACCCAGTGAGTGGAGGCTTTTTCTTTAAAGCACTGGAAACTGGGACGGGCGGGGCAGCTGCAGGAGCTGGCGAGTTTTGGGGACTGTCCGAATCATCGAAGCTCTCCGACTCTTTTCTGAAGATTCAGAGAGGTTCAGATCGATTCAGACATTTTTATTGGTCCCTGGTTTGATTCGGATTTGGAGATTCGGCCACCAAATTGGGCTGAATCTCCTCTGAATTGAATCAGCACCTGAAGCTTCGCACAGCCCTAGTATTTATAGATTTTTTTTAAAAACATAATTGAAATTGAAGACTTGGCATTACAAGGAAAGGCCTGTGCTGGCTCACCTTCGAGACTAGACCATACTGGCTTCCTATAGTATGATTCAGTAACAAGATACAAATATTTCTATGCAAGTACATTATCTCAAGTGATCTGATAAATTATACCCTCTGTCCAGACTTCCTATTGGAATGTAAGTTCTTTGCTTTCTCAAAAAAAAAGATTATTAATGTACAGAGTCACTAATGGCATTCTTTTTACTGTTTATTCCAGGTTGAACGTGGTCCAGTGTAGAGCTCTAACATGTCTCCATAGCATTTTGTTAGTAGCAGATGTGGATTGCCTTGGAGGATCTTTGGCACTTCAGTCACTTTCAGAGCATCTGTCCCAGTTAGTTTTTTCTCAGTCAGGTAAATTTCAGATGGTATTGTTAAAGGGTTTGATTGCCTCTATTATCATTAACATGCAATTCCATTATGTTTTATGTTCCCTTCTGAATGCAGGAATACTTGATATTGGCCATACATTGGCATGCCCAAAACTGATGTGGCCTGTTTTCCTAGGAGAACCCTGATCATGTACAGCATTGGCATGTAGCATATTTTGAGCAAAAGGAAGTTTTTCAAAAAGTGGTCACAGCAGGCAACTCCAGCATTAATGTGTTTTATTACACTAGAGAAGGAAAGGGCTGTTCTGTTTCGTGGGGCTGACTTATGCATGTAGGTGTGTAGTTTGGAAAATGCAGTTAGGCAAGTGATTTAAGGGTGTAACAGCATTTAACATTTTGTTTTTAAACTAGGCTCAGAAGCTAGTTACTAGATTTCCAAGAATAGTAGTGGTCTGTCTTTGTCTTCATTCAAAAAAAAATTAATCTAATGGATGATGTTCTTACAAAAATGTTGTTTTAAAATAGGACACTTCACAAAGATTAGACTTCATAGAAATGTCAAGACAGCAGCATATTGGGAGGCTTAGTACAGATCAGAACACCACAGGTAGTCTAACACTGTTGGCAATCTGAATCACTTAATATAACTGTATTTTAGTAGTGTGTTTCTTAAAATTGGTGAAAATTGTGTGTATCCACATCACTGACTTGCTTTTACTGGGCAGTAAAAGCCTGGTGGAGTTCTGGAAGCTGACTGAAAAGTATGTTAGTCCTAAAATAGGGCTTAAGAAACTTAGCTTATTCATGACTTTAATAATTCTCAATCTCTTAGCAAACATTTAGGAATCCCCCTGTTCCCCCTGCCCAGAATTCTCAGTTCACAGCTGCCAGCAAGGCATGTATAGTATTAACTTGCAACATCATAGTACAATGCTGCATTAATATGTCTTTCAAAATGCGATTGCCTGGAGAACATTTTAAGAAACTGTATAATAAATATCATAGTCCAGGTTACAAGGGACACTGACTGAAGGAAAAAGGAAAGAAATAGTCATGTTAGTCTGAAGTTGGGCAGAAGGCTATAGACTAACTACATCAGATTTTTTTTTATATATATATATAAGCATAAGCTTTTGTGAGCCCAGGCCGTGAAAGGCCATCACATGTCGAAATGCACAATATGGTGCTCAGTGTAAAAACCTTCTAAAAGGAGGTGTATGTATAGTCTGTTACATACTTCTGGAGCAGAACTGTGAGTTCTGTGACTCTACGTGTTGCAATGCGCAATAATCAGAATAAAGAAAGCTTTTAAATAGTGTTTTGAGGAATGAAGAGTTGAAGAAACGTGGTGCCAAAAAAGAACAGCTAAAAGGAGCCTGCTTACATTGATATGGAAATATTAGCCCCATATTTTCTGCTGTGGCGAGATTTGTAGGATGAGCTGCTCCCAGCTGTAGTAGATAACATGTTAAGACAAAGTAGGTTCGGGCAAGTCCTATAACACCTGGTGAATTATGTGGACTACAGGACAGGGGCCTAGCTGCTTAGTTTGACAAAAAACAAGCTTCTATTTTTGGCACGAGTCTGCGATCGGCAGCCTAAGAAGAATAAAATGAGACTATAAAAAGTACTACGTTAATAGACGTGTAAGAAGATAATTGGTGGTATTGGGCGGTTGTTAGTTAATGTGAGTGTCTACGTGTGTGTCTAGCTACACTTGTTGTTACTGCACAATCATTTAGTATTTGTTTTAGCTGGTATTGCAGAGTCCTAGCACTGCACAGATCGTTTTCTTGACCTTACTGTGCAGTAGCAACGATTGACTGCAGTAGCTTATTGCTACTATGCAGTAGTGGTGGTGTCACGGGTCGTGCCTGTTGATGCTACAGCAACGTAGTGTCATAGAATCATAGAAGTTGGGTCAGAAGGGACCTTATAGATCTTCAAGTCCGACCCCTTGCCAGGGCAGGAGAAAAAACTGGGCTCAAATGATCCCAGCTAGGTAGGCATCAAGCCTCCTCTTAAAGACCCCCAGGGTAGGAGCCAGCACCACTTCCCTTGGAAGTTGGTTCCAGATCCTCGCCTCCCTGACTGTGAAGTAGTTCTTACGGATGTCTAA